CTCCCCCTAAAAAAACACTATGGCCACCCCTTGCCAAAAAGTCTAGCTCCGCCCCTTTTCTGTAGTCTAACCCCCCAAAAATGTAGTTCCACCATATTAGAACATGTCTTTTGGTCCCTATAGGGCAGGGATAATCAATTACGGTCCACAAGGTCCACAGCCCTGCATGTTTTACTTGTTTCTCTGCTCCAACACACCTGGTTTGAATGAATCAGGTTTCTGCAGAACTTGGAAGAGGTAATTCACTGACTGAATCAGGTGTGTTAGAGAAGGGAAAAAGGGCTGCGGACCTTGAGGACCGGAATTATTGATCCCTGCTATAAGGACTACTGCTCCTGATAAGGTAGGAGTTTATACTGAAAAAGGTCCTAAAAAGGTAACAAAAACCTGAAACACTTACATACACATTTGTATTTCTATCCTTATYAAGMCCGCTCATTGACTTCCATTCATTTCAAGTCATTTCTGCAGCCTAACCTCCAACCCAAAAATTAAGTTTCATCAAATTAGGACCGGTATTTTGATCCCTATGAGGACTACTGGTCCTGATAAGGTAGGTGTTTATACTAGAAAAGATCCTAAAAAGGTAAAAAAAAAAAATAAAAAAAAACCTCAAACACACACACCTCAAATACTTTACTAACAGTTTGAAACTCTCCTCTGTTTCTCCCTTTCTCTCAATTCATCCTTCTTCGTGTTGTCGACTCTCCGAGCCAACTTCTCGCTGCTGTTGTGTTGCTGGGTTACAAATTGGTCAGAGTGGGCGTCGCGCGGTACCACACCCCTGCCTGTTAGAGCAWCTCCATGCGAGCGAGCGCCGCCACACACAAACAGGCTAAAGAGACACTGAAACGTAACGGGTTAAACATCAGTGAGTCAGTGAAACTCTTCGAACGTTGTGAATCTTATTAAAACGTGTAACGAGTTGAACGACAAGTGTAAATTCAAATTAAATCAAATGCAACCGTTTGGCTTCTGCTCATTTTTAAAAGTTGTGTGCTACTTTAAGCTCTGCTGCTAATTTTAACTTGTAATAGTTTTGGGATTCTAGATGCGCTGAAGTACTTATAATAAAATCTGACCTGTTTAACCTCTGTTTCAGCTCTTCTTCTGGTTTAATTAAACTGGACACTTTTCTCTTTAGCGACACCTACAGTTCAGGAGGAGAACTGCAGCAGCRTCGAGTAAAACAGAAACAAACACTCCGAAAATGCGCTTCAACCAAACACTTTTTTACTCATTCTATAGTTAAAAAAAATACATCTTACTGCTCACTGTTACACACCTGAAGCTGGAAGGTTGATTGATTTTTAACTAAACCTAATTTTTATGTATTTTTATGAATTGTAAGTCACGTTTTATTAATTTTTTTCACAAATTTAAAATGAGTAGATGTTTTTTTATTAGGTTGTATATAATTAGAGTCAGTACCTGACACTGGACCACTCCTTTGTTTTGTGGGTTATATTTAATAGAATAGAATAGAATAGAATAGAATAGAATAGAATAGAATAGAATAGAATAGAATAGAATAGAATAGAATAGAAACAGCCTTTATTGTCCCACAGAAGGAAAATTCAGGTGTAACAGCAGCGGCAGGTACATCAACCCACAAAAGAACATATTGCTACGCAACATTGTCAGTAGTAGCGATAATAATAGAATTAAAATAATAATAATATTAAAATAAMTAATTAAATCACATTTGTTTTTGTTGCTCCTGTATCTGTAATGTATCGAATCACAAACCAACTCTGGTGGAAACCCAAAGATTTTGGTAAAARAGGTGTTCAGTACTGAGCAAAAGTTTTAAATTGGTCATTTTTTAAAACTTTTTACTTGCTTTACTTCAATACGCCAAACTGTCTTGTTATCTTATAAAGCCGTATTTTAGGAGACCTCTCTGAGGGTCCTTTTATGTTCTTTTTCTTTGAACATTTACTGCCTTTTCACCCATTTTATTTCACTCCAGTTCCTCAGGGTGACAGAAAACGAAACTTGCGACTGAAACCAAAGCCAAAGAGCTGAGAGCTGCATCACCCTTCAGCTGATCCTGCCAGGTTTTCAGCTCAGCAGCTCTTCGGGAATCAACTCACTGGTGCTAAAATTTTACTTTTACGTTTGTCAAATTGTGTTTAAGATCCCACTTAAAACTACTCTGGTTCATCCCCAGAGATTAAAACCCTTTTTTATGTCTGGAGGATTTACAGCCCGGAGTTAAGTGGCTTAACAAACATTCCTCTGAAAACGGTCAATTATTGGACAGAAACTGAGCGGCAAGGCAGCAAAATGTGCAAAGAAAAAAACTCTAAACGGCCTTCAGATAACCGGTACGTCTCTTTTCCCTTGATTTAAAGTCAAAATGTGGACGCAGGAGCGCTGCAACGTTTGGTTTTACGACTAAATCCATGATGTGAACGTCGATACATGCTCGCTGAGGCGCAGRCGGTGCAACAGGAAGCATAAAGCACCGAGAAAAACAGCCGATGTCGGTAAATCTGTGCACATCTGAGCTGCAAAGAGAGACGCCGTTAAACAGCCGTCCGTCAGTCGATTCGAAAGGCAGAAAACTGATCAGAAAAGCTTTGATGCTACAGTGAACTTCCCTGCATTTCTGCACAAATGAATACAACAACTAGTGAAAAATATCATCTGAATTAATTGTGACGGGATGATGAATATGTCACAAACTGCAGCCTCCAAAAATCCTCGTCCAGATCAATTAATGCTTCTTCAAAGTTCGTTAAAATGTCCGTTTGTCTCTGAATGTGCTTAACAGTCATATTTTATTATAAATAACTGCAACATAGACYGCACACAAATATCTAAACATGTTTAAAAGATTTTAATTACTCAAAATTGAAGAAAGAAACAGGATGAAAAGCTGATTTCATGCTGCAGAGTTGTAGTTTTATAATTAAAGATTTTGGTRAGAAAAGTAAGTTTGGACAATTCTGTAGAAATTCTGTAAGATGTAAATAAGTGAATAACTCTGATTTGTTAATTTTATTGTAATCTRTAAACTCTACTGGTTTTTGGATAAAATAAGATCTTTTTTTTATTTAACGGCAGCAACAGTTTGCAAACATCCAGGAACTGAGGAGACCAGTTCTGGAGGTTTTGGAGGGAACTGAGGAGACCAGTTCTGGAGGTTTTGGAGGGAACTGAGGAGACCAGTTCTGGAGGTTTTGGAGGGAACTGAGGAGACCAGTTCTGGAGGTCTTATTGTCCCATT